AGAAGAAGTAAGAGTTGCATTTGCGAGAGTGGATAGTTGGTAAGAGTCAACTTCACAACTATATGATGATGAAGAGGAGGGAGAGTTGTTTGGAACGATGAATAAGCAATGAATTGGGAAGCAACAGTAGAACTAGACGTGTTATGATTACGATGTCGACATGAAGATTGATTTTCATATTGTTCGTAAACGAGTTGGCATTGGTTGTGTGTTGGTCGCTGCATCTATACTCACAATCAAGTCACAGACTTCCTCACCAAGCCTCTTCATCGTACATGGTTTCTCCAATTTTGCTCCAAAAATTTCTCAACTTGCGGGTCGTATAGTGATAAGTAGACCAATTCTTGATGCCTTCTCTTGTGCATACCCTCCATGTAGAATTTGATTCTTAATATTTCACTCTCAACTATCTCAACTTGCGTTATCGTGCATATCAAGGTACATAATATTAAATTGTAGATATAGTCGTGCATGATGAGCTAAATATTTATACTTTTTTCTCAGCTAGTGCATCTGTGCGCATATTGAGTTAATAACATTAATTTCGCTTTGTATGCATGAGGAGGCGCATTCTCGCTTCTCATCACAATATCGTGTAAAAACAATCTCCCACTAATTTGTGAGAATTTTTTGTTTCACCAATATTTATGCAAATCACCCGCTAAGAGGGTGATTCTCTTGTTAGCTTTTGACATTTTGTGAATAAGCTTGGTAAATTATGGTAGTCTGTTGTTAGCTATGTTTAGAAGGAGGCAAACTAAATAAGATTATTAGTTAAAATTTAATCACTTGAGCATAAAAAATTTCACATACTTTGCACACTAACAAATATAATTTAACTAACTATATCACAACCCCACAAAATTCACAGTAGAAATTGACGAACCGATCTCACGAATAAAAACAGGGAAAAAACAAAAAGAGACAAAAAGAAAACACTTCAATTGAAGCTTTTTCTTTTTTATTTTTAGATCCCCAAACAAAATATAAATCCCCAATCCAAAACCCTCCTCCCTCCTCCGCCGTCGCCCGATCCCCATCTCCGGTGCCCTAATTCTCAGCCATCAAACTCCCCTTCCTCTTCCTCCTCCTCGAGCTCATCCCCGTCCGCCGCCGCGTCCTGGTACTGCTGATACTCCGACACCAAATCGTTCATGTTGCTCTCCGCCTCCGTGAACTCCATCTCATCCATCCCTTCCCCTGTATACCAATGCAAAAACGCCTTCCTCCTGAACATCACCGTGAACTGCTCCGATACCCGGCGGAACATCTCCTGAATGCTGGTCGAGTTCCCCATGAACGTCGACGACATCGACAGCCCCGTCGGCGGGATGTCGCAGACGCTCGATTTCACATTGTTGGGGATCCACTCCACGAAGTAGGACGAGTTCTTGTTCTGCACATTGATCATCTGCTCGTCCACCTCTTTCGTGCTCATCTTGCCGCGGAACATCGCCGAGGCGGTGAGGTACCGGCCGTGGCGCGGGTCGGCAGCGCACATCATGTTCTTCGAGTCCCACATCTGCTGCGTCAGCTCCGGGATCGTCAGGGCGCGGTACTGCTGCGAGCCGCGGGAGGTCAACGGAGCGAATCCGACCATGAAGAAGTGGAGCCGAGGGAATGGGATCAGGTTCACGGCCAGCTTGCGGAGGTCGGAGTTCAATTGCCCCGGGAAGCGGAGGCAGCAGGTCACTCCGCTCATCGTCGTCGAGATCAGGTGGTTCAGATCTCCGACTGTCGAATTCAGTAATTCAAATTAGTAATTTGCTCAATCATTCATCAATCACCCAAAATCACATATCCCCTGATTGTTGTGATTTAAACATGACTTACAGCTAGGGTTAGTGAGCTTGAGTGTTCTGAAGCAGATATCGTACAGAGCTTCATTGTCAAGCACCATACACTCGTCGGCATTCTCAACCAGCTGGTGAACGGAGAGAGTAGCGTTGTAAGGCTCCACCACGGTGTCGGACACCTTGGGCGACGGGAAGACGGAGAAGGTCAGCATCATTCGATCCGGGTACTCTTCCCTGATCTTGGAGATCAACAATGTCCCCATCCCAGATCCTGTCCCTCCTCCCAAAGAATGGCACACCTGAAACCCTACACCAATTTCCCCCCAATAATCATGGTTGTTAAGCACAAGTAAAGTGCGTGCTGACATTGTTGGATCGCGAAATTCAAGATCGAATCAGTAATTGGCAACAAACAAGGCGCGATCCAACAGCGTCAACATGGATGGATTGAGGGGGCAAATGTGGATTGTGTAGAGTTTGAATTTGTGTTAATGGCGTTACCTTGGAGGCAATCACAATTCTCGGCTTCCTTGCGGACGACATCGAGAACAGAGTCGATGAGCTCGGCTCCTTCGGTGTAGTGGCCTTTGGCCCAGTTGTTGCCGGCGCCGTTCTGGCCGAAGACGAAGTTGTCGGGCCTGAAGATCTGGCCGTATGGGCCGGTCCGGAGGCTGTCCATGGTGCCGGGCTCGAGGTCCATGAGGACGGCCCGGGGGACGTAGCGCCCGCCGCTGGCCTCATTGTAGTAGACGTTGACTCGCTCGAGCTGGACCCTGGAGTCGCCGACGTATTTTCCGGTGGGATCGATGCCGTGCTCGTCGCACACCACTTCCCAGAACTTGCCGCCGATCTGGTTCCCGCATTGGCCTGCCTGGATGTGGAGGATTTCTCTCATTTTGCTGGGATGGGATGGCTGATGGGCTTTGTTAGGTTGGGGGAAATGGAGGTGAGGGGCAAGGAAGAGATGAATGGAAGGGAGAGGGGGTTTTTGTAAGTGGTTTGTGTTGGGAAGAAGATGAGATATTTGAGATTGTAATGGAGGTGGGTATTTTATTTATTTGTTTATTAATTTTAGGTTTTTTTATTTTGAGGGGAATTATGGAGGGAAAAAAGGTGTGAGACTCATTCACATTATGCATGTGGTGTGTCATTTTGATGTGTGGGAGGAGAGTGTTTGTATTAGCTGGAAATGGGAAGGAGACAACCAGATGGATCTTAGGGGGTTTCTTTTAATTTCTTTGTCCTCATTCTACTTGTAGCCATTGGTTTTGATTTTTACCAAATCATATTGTTTTCATAGTTTCATTTTCTAAAATTATATAGCCCGATTGGAATTATTTTTTTACTAGCATGAAACGATTGAATCACGATTTTAACATAAAATACTCTCGTCGTCATTGGTTTTACCCCATCATACTTCACCCTTTCCCCCATTTGTTTTTTCTGTTTCTTACTCTTTCGGGCTTCGCAAATGGCATTGAGAGCTTGACCTTGATCTACCATCTTGTTCTGTTGCCAAGTAGAGTTAGATGGTTTGAGGTTGTTTTGGTGTTGACATATAGGCGTTTGACATATGTGTGAATTCGGTTTGTGAGGAGTCAGATGATAACCTAACGTATTGGTGTTACTCTTTTAAACTCGAGAATATGTAGGAGGACGATGTCACATGTACTGATCACATCTTTGCATCAATATAACAACACCGTTGAATGAGATGTTGTTCAACACTCAACAGGAGAAAGTTTACTATAAGATTTGCGCTTGCAACCGGTTAAGTCAGCTTGATTGAGGAACAAAACAAAAACTAGCTTTGCCAATACCGGTTTGAGTGGCATCCCCTTTTTTCTCGGGGCTGTTAGCCCATTGGGAAAATTCAGGCGGGGATCCTATTCTGAATGGGAATTATAGCCCAAAATCCTCGGGGCTGGTAGGTGGTTACCAGTGTGTCCCTGCCCAACGGCAAAATTCAGGCGGGGATCCTATTCAGAGTGGGAAATCTACTCCTACTCGAACTCTACCTCTGCCACAAAATACGCCTCTGAGAATCGGTTTCTCGCGAGGTAGAGGGCCTTTATTTATACCCTTTCCCCTGGGCGAAGTACAGTATCTTTTTAGCTACTTCGACGTCCAGGAGAACCTGATGCAGCTAGAGCTCTCTCCCTTGTGTCCCCGTTTCGGAGCTGCTCAGGTATATGGGGTTTCTATAATTATCGATTATCCCCTCCCTCTCTTCTCGTTAATGCACCTGCTACGGCACCTGTTGTGCAACCTTGTCTCATGCCTTCCTTGAATGGTAATCCTTTGGTGGACAAGATGCTAGGTTGTGCTTCATCTGCTTTTGACACGAGTGATTCATCGTTTTGTCAGGTGGTGTGTACAATGTCCCACGTGACAGAAGACCAGGTTGTCCAATTCTCCTTCGAGGAGGTGCAATCGACCTGGTTCCGAGCTTCCAGATCCCTCCTTGGACGCTTGTTCACTAATGATCAAATCACTACTATGGAACTACGAGAAGGATTGCTGGATGCTTGGAAGATCAGTGGGCAGCTCAAGGTCATGCGAACAAAACTGGGCTCTTTGAGATTGTGTTGCCCAACGAAGAGGCTAAGAAGTGGGCACTCTCTCGGAACCCATGGATCATTAAGGATCGGCTGTTTACCCTTCGCCCCTGGTATCCTGTGATCCCAAAAGGAATCTTTGATGAGATGTCCAAGGCCCCGTTTCGAATCTAGTTATGGGGAGTCAAGGATGACTGTCGTACAAAAATTTTGGGCAGAAAATGGTGGCAACAGTGTTTGGCCAAGTTTTGGACTCCGGGATCTTCGCCTGCAAGGAGACTGGGGAGCGTTTTATAAAAGTCAATATTGTTATTGACTTATCCAAGCCTCTCCGATCACAATTAATGGCAGTCAGTGAAGATGTTGAGAGCTTTTGGGTTAGCCTAAAGTATGAATTCCTGCCGAGTTTTTGCTTTTATTGTGACCGAGTTGGCCATGCTCTCCGTGACTGTGCCTTTGATCCACCACATGGCAAAGAGCGATTCGGCCCGCATATGGCGACTAAGAAGGTGGGGAGGAAGATTTATGAGGAAGATGGTGATGCCCTTCTCCTTGGGGGGGGAGAGGGGGGGGGGGGGCTAGGTGATCGGTTTGGATAAATCGCCAACATCGTAACCAATCGGCGGGTGGAAGAGAGGAAACAGGTATGGGGGCTCGGAACCACACCCAAACCTCGGTGAAGATGGAGCAACCAGCTCCTTCAAAGGAGGCAATGGAGTCGGTGGCTCTCGGTGGTCCGGTTGCATACCAGGGGAGAGGATCGGAAAAGATGCCAATGTCTCGAGGCAGCCCGAGGGGCTTTGCCCTCAACCGCCCTCCTAAAGTCAGGCTGGGGAATGGTCAATCGAGGCAGCTGGGCAAGAAATTGCAGGAGTCCCCTTGCGCTGGTGAGGCGGCCCGTCCTCAGTCACTGACATCAGCTCGGCTGCACTCGGCCCCGCTTCCAAGTGGTGACCCGCCCGCCATGATTCAGGAGGATTCGAGGCGCCGTCGCCTTATCCTTGAAAAGGATTCCGATGACCACATGGTGGACGCGATCCCGACAGCTGCTCATGCTACGTCGCTGCAATCCATGCAGGAGGGGTCCTCGGCGGATCAGGTGGATTACTCTATTCCTAAGGTAGCTGGGGTGGAGAAGTCGGTGAAGCAGAGGGCTCGACGTGCTAAGTATAAACCACTGCAAAAGCAGGGTGAGGACGCTGCATTCCGAGCAGGAGTAGAGGAAGTCGAGGGTCTGGTTAATTCCCAGCCCATGCCATCGCGTGGTAATCGTAAATTGCACAAGGCTAAGGCCCGAGTTGCTAATAAAGCCCATGTGGCTATGGCCTTTTGATAGAGGCCTATGATAGAGTCGAATGGCCTTTTCTCCTTGCGGTTTTGGATAAGATGGGCTTTAACTCGATCTGGCAAGGGTGGATTCGTGAGTGTCTCAGATCCTCATCTTTTTCGGTTCTTATGAATGGGACTCCTTCAGGATATTTCACTCCGTCCAGGGGGTTACGGCAAGGGGACCCTCTCTCCCCTCTTTTGTTCGTGCTTTGCACCGAGGGTTTTGCGGCACTCCTTCACAAGGCTATTTCAGATAAAAGATTGGAAGGGGTTAAAGTGGCTCCTCGAGCACCGCGGATCTCACACCTGTTTTTTGCAGACGATTCGTATTTATTTCTGCGGGGTAATCTCAGGGAGTGTGAAAACTTGATTGAGGTCCTAAATGAGTATGAGGAATTGAGTGGCCAGCGGGTGAACTTGGCCAAATCAGCGGTGTGTTTCAATAATAATATTGTCCGTGCAGACCAGGAGTTTTTGGCCTCGGTGTTGGGAGTGGGAGCGGTAGGGGTCCACGATAAGTACCTTGGTCTGCCGACACTTATTGCTCGATCCAAGATGGCCACTTTCCGGTATTTGGAAGAGAAGCTGCTAGAACGTCTCCAGGGGTGGAAACGGAGGACATTGTCATGGGCTGCGAAAGAGACCTTGATTAAGTCGGTTGCTCTGGCTTTGTCGTTACATGTGATGTCTTGTTTTAAGCTTCCTCTTTCTCTGTGTCGGCTCTTGGATAGGCATGTGGCCCGGTTTTGGTGGGGGGATGCTGAGGATCATTTTCGGCTCCGGTGGGTGTCGTGGCGTAATCTGTGCCGTAGCAAACATGATGGGGGGTTGGGGTTTCGTCGGTTTGAACAATTCAACAGGCTTTGTTGGCGAAGATTGGGTGGAGTAGCCTTATGGAGCCCCAATCCCTTTTGGCACAGGTTTACAAAGGCAAATATTTCCCTAATGGGTCGTTTGTTGATGCCTCAGCTCGGACCCGTCCGTCGTGGGGTTGGCAAAGCATCCTCTTTGGTAGGGAGTTACTGGCAAAGGGTTTACGGTGGCAAATTGGCAATGGCCAGACTGCATCTTTGCTTAACTCTAGCTGGATCCCTTTGCTCCAGATGAGCCCCCCTTGTTATAACCCTCGGATCCTGCCGGAAGGGGGGGACCCTCCTGTTGCGGAGGTCATGTGTCTAGAAGAGGGATGTTGGGGTGATCGCAAGTTGTGTCAATGGTTTGATCCACCTACATGTAAGGTCATTAAAGCTATCCCCCTTCCGAGATAGAATGTGGCGGATAAGTTAATCTGGCATGGTATGGCGGATGGGGTCTTCACGGTCAAGTCCGCTTACCATTTAGATGTTGATATTGATAGGAGGAGGGGGGGTTGGTGATCAACGGTTGGTTGGATGGATAAGGAATCCTGGATTCGTTTGTGGGATGCGAACATCCCTCCGAAGCTTAAAGTCTTTGTTTGGCAGATCCTCCATCGAATTTTGCCTACCACGGAGGCCCTTATTAAAAAACATGTCCAGGTGCATCCCAGATGTCCGGTTTGTTGGGGCAGTGCAGAAACAATGGAGCATTTGTTCTTGGAATGCCCTGTGGCTCGTGCCCTTTGGGACTATTCTGGCCTGGAGTATCTGGGGGAGGGGCTCCCTCGACATACTTTCCCTATGTTCTTGAAGAGACTAATGGCTCTGATTGACCAACCTAATTTATTCATGGCTGTGGTGGCTATCCTTTGGCGGATATGGCGTTCGCGGAACTGGGTTGTTTTTGAAGGCAAACAGTTCGGGTTTCCTGCCTTGATGCGTCAGTTCCACCAACAGTATGAGGAGTGGGTACGGCTGCCTATGGATAGGACCCCCAGGGTGGTTTCCCCTGCGGCGGCTCCTCCTGAGGCACACCAAATCGTTCTTGCTGAGGAGGATAGTGTTGTTTGTATGTGGGATGGGGCAGTGAGGAGGGGGTCACATTCGGCTGGTGGGATGGTTCTTCTGACTCCGACGAGAGATGTTTGGCTGGTTAAAGGGATTCACTTTCCGTGCGTGGATGACCCTATGGTGGTCGAGCTGCTTGTCCTCCGGGAGGCTATTTTGTGGTGCGTGTCGGTCGACCTTTCGGAAGTGAAGTTTGAAGGTGATGCTAAGGTGCTCATTGATAAAATCAATCAGGCGGATGCAAGGGATAACCGAGTAGGAGCTGTTCTAGAGGAACTTCTGCACTATTTTAACAGTTATACTGGTTTTCGTGTTCCATTTATAGGTCGGCGTAGTAATAGGGTAGCCCATATGGTGACTCGTAAAGCTCTCTCGTTGTACTCGACTATGAGTCGTTTCTTTGATTTTCAGGCCTGGCTGAATTCCAGGATGTAACTATCTATTTTTTGAATCATTATAAGATTATCTTTTGTAAAAAAAAAATACCGGTTTGAGTGAAGAAATAGTTTTTGGGATTGTGTTTGTGAAAAGGCCTGAAGGGTAGGGATGGCAATTTTGCCCATACCCATGGGTTTCTTATTATCCAACCCAATTGGGTTGGGTATGAAATTCAAATAGATGGATATGGGTAGAGTTTGATTGGTTTGTACCCATACCCATTTACTTTGGGTTGAGTTGGGTAGAGATGGCAAAAATATCCGTAACCGTGGATATCCACCCGAATCCGACCTAATCGGGTAGGGTAAAACCCGAACCCGAAAATATTTTTCGTGGGTACGGGTAAAACCCGAACCCGAATATTGCGGGTAATGGATGGGCATGGTTATCTCACTATCCAACCCGAACCCGCCCGATTATACACATACACATGCATATGTATTTTGTCTAGAAATAATAATCATTATATTTCCCTAGAATATTTTATATTTAGCATATAAATATAATATTTTTATGAAATTATGTTGTTTTAATTAATTTTCGTCATTCTAGTGAATTATTGTCGTACTTTTCCTCTTACGTAATGTGAGTATACGTTTGAATGTTAACATATTGGTTGGAATTATAAGGAGAAATTATTACCCATGGATAACCGTGGATACCCGAAACCCGAACGGGTATGGGCATGGTTTTGATTTTCTACCCGTTTCTCGTGTGGGTACGGGTATGAGTAAAACCCGAACTACATTGGGTAGGGTAACGGATATGCACTATCCGCCCCCGACCCGACCCGACCCATTGCCATCCCTAGAGTTGGGTTTATATCAAATGGATTTGGGTTTGTACCCATGCCCAAATACAAATTACAGTTTGGTACCCAAACTTATAGATATGCATATTTAGTACCTAAATTTAATTTTTTGCATATAAGTCCTCAAAATATCGATGGAAAATTACGTTTTGGTACCGTAAATTTTTGGTCTTACATTTTGATCCCTTAACTTTTCAAGTTTTACAAATAGGTCCAATTTTTGCATGTGTAGTTAAAACACCCTCAAGTAAATGGATATCCATATCCAACTCATACTCATTTAGATTATGGAAGCAATATTCATACCTTACCCAAATCCATCTATAAACCCCCAAATCCATATGCACTTCACCCATACCCAACCCATTATCGATAGATCTAATTGGGTTTGGGTATAATTACCCATGGGCGGGTAATTTCACATCCCTACTGAAGGGTAATAGCACATTATGAGAGGGGAGGGTAGTTTGGTAATGGTTTTGAAAGGCGACACACGGTAAGATTAGTTAAGCCATGTTAATCACTGTAATCCTTTTTTATAATCTCTAAGAGATCGTATTAGGTGCCTAAATTAAAGGGTTTAGATATATTCAATGGAGAAAATTGGGGATTAAGAAGTTCTACCATCAATTATTTGGATGCAGATTGGGATGGGGAAGATATTTTGTCAGTGTGTCTCCTACTCAACGATTTAAAATCCCCAGTTTGGTATCCTATGTATTGTAACGTAGTAAAATCCCCAAAAGAAAATTAGAGCCTAGGTACCAGTTCTAAGAAATATATTATGAAGACTTTTAACTACCAATTAGACAATAGTAGTGATGGATTTTGGGATAATGTTTTTTATCAAAATAATTTTCCATTTGATTATCTGAAAATCCTTTATCGATAATTTTGTACAACATATAGAATAACAAGAAACACTACTTTGAATAGTACACAAAGTAGACTAGTTACCAATGACGGTTTTGTATTCCGCTCTCTTTTTCTCGTCGACGGTATTTAAAGAAAAGGTTTTGCCTGCACATGGGAACTATGGGAGGGCAAGGGAGGTGGTGACGAAGGTCACTTGATTAAGGATTTTGGGTTCTTAGTGGAAGGGAGGGGACACTATCGCTCAAATTGAATTTGATAGGAATTTTGAATCTCATAATTTTGGGAAGTTCATGAGTTAGAGAATTTTGCATTTCCTAGTTCAAGGAACCATCCGCCGAAGTCCCGACCCCTCAACATCCAATTAGAGGTATGTTTGCAGCGCATAAATACAAGCTAAAGACAATTTGGTATTTGTTTTCTTCTTGAACCAGGCAACTTCTCTGTTGCTATTACTCAAAAAATGTCACCTTGTTAATTATATTAAAACTGACATAGGTGGGCAGGTAAAGAATACTCAAGACTGCGAGACAACTATTTTTAAAGAATTCGAAAAATAGCTATGTATCTTCGAAAGAAGGGGTGCCTCCTCTCACAAAGGGAAGTCGCAATGACCAGACTCGGCCGATTGTTTACCAATAACACAGGTCTCCACAAAGTTGTTAGACCATGTTCATGTGATTTTTTCAATTTACTAGGGTTCTGCTTTCCGAATCCAATACGCAGACAACAGTGGAGAAAAAAATGTTAAGGATGGGGGAGCATCCAAACATGGCCTACCCATCTGCACCATAATGAAGCAAGAATACATCATCTATCTCTCAGCCACCGACGACCCACCCACTACATTATTCCGAGGAGGAAAAACAAACACATTATTAGTTATTATCATCACATTATGGATATTTGTCACTTCACAATTCAATAACATTTTCTCAAGCAACCAGTGAAAACACC